TTATTCAGAGGTCAGTGAAACTAAACTGCTTGTGGTTCTGTATTGTCATTTTAGATGTATCAACCTAAACACACATTATTCAAGGTGGGGCCAAACTATGGCTTATTCTAATACAGGGTCCTGCATATACTAATTCAAAAGCCACCACCTTCTGCTACTTGGAATATTACCATGGCATGTTAACAGAATTCTGTCTGCCTTGCCCCCTACAGTCTATTCTCAGTCAATACAACAGTCAGAGTTGTATCCTTTTTAAAACTGAAGTTAAATCACAGCACTTCTATGATAGGTACCAGTTACTGTACAACCCAAAGATTTCACAATAGCCAACAAGGGCACCACATGATATATCTCCCATTTCCTATTCCCTCTCCCACATGAACTTTCTTGATTCTTGCAGTCCTATGGTCTTTGCTCCAATTTTTCAGATTGCCTGAAACCTAATACCCACAAATGTCTTCTTGGCTGAATCTTGTCTTTTCAGTGACCATACCCATTTAATTCTGTTATCTGTCTCTTATTTACTCCTTTTCCTTCTTTACCAGCGCACTTGCCCTTTAGCTTATTATGTTAATATATTTTGTACATATATGTTATTATACATACCATAGTATGTATATCTATCTATATATGATATATACATACACACTTTGTTTCTTCCCATCGGATCTTCATTAAAGCACAAAGACCAGAACTGTCCAAAAATGACCATAGGAACTTAAACTGGTTTGTATGGACTAGGAACTTCCTCTACTTTTTTGAAGTGGGAAGGGCCTGACAAAGTCTCAAGAAACCAACACCTCTATGGTTAGGAATAATGATTGGGAACCTGGGAATCTATTATGAAGGTAAAGAATTAAGGTGGAATTCAAAGTTATCAATCTTGACTTTAAAATACAGATTAAATTGGATTAAAAAGTGAGCCCAGTGAAATCACGAAGATCTTTAAAAGTAGAAAAGGAAACTTAAGAGAAGCCAAGGTGACTCAATGGGAGCAGGACTCAATTGGTCACCTGTGACTGGCTTTGAGGATGGAAGGCAGGCACCATAAGCCAAGAGATGCAGGAAGCATCTAAACAAACTAGAAGAGGAAAGGAATGATTCTCCTACAGAAGCTATAAAATACAGCCCTGCCAACACCTGATTTAATTCCAGAGCTCCATTTCAGACTTTTTACCTCCAGAACTGTAAAATAATAAATTGGCAGCTTTTAAAGTTAATATAGTTGTATAATGTTACAGTAGCAGTAGGAAAATAATAATCTCCCTTTCTACTTTAGAAAGGGTCACAATATCTCCAATTGCTAGATAGCTGGTTTCCTGACAACTTCAATCTATAAAAAGCTGACACCCAAATCTAAACTGCTTGGTATAAAAAGACCTAATTTTTCCCATACTATTAAAGTTGCTCTAACACTTACACCACAAGAAGGATAAACAGAGGGTAGAATTTACTACTCAAATAAGCTTGTATCATATCTGTCCTTCCATTATCTCTACTCCAGCTGGTTACTCTTTGGGATGATGAAAGGATGACGAATCTTTGTTTTCCTTTCTGACTGATATTGACCTGAAAAGAATTTCCTTTTCCAAGTAAAGCCTATTCCGTAACTAGTACCATCTGAAAGTTTGTCGAATTCACCCTGAGCAAAATAGGTGATGACCCAGTAAAGACCTACTCTTTGTAGAACACCATAAACTTTACAAGGGCAGGTATATTTGTTCACAAATCATACAAAGTAACTTGAACAGTATCTTGTCCTTAGTAGGCACTCCATTACAATGTGTTGAGTAAATTAATGATTTCGATTACTTCAAACCATAAATAATGGATTCCAGGTATCTTAAAGTTTTAAGTGAAAGAGAAAATGAAATAGCATTTTTTAAATGTGGTCTAAGGACAGAAAAGCATTTCTTAAAATTCCCAAAACATTAACTGCTACGGTTTAGATACGTGGTGTCCCCCCAAAAACTCCTGTGTTAACGTGTGAAATGACTGGATGAGAGCTGTAACCTAATCAGTTCATCCTTATCAAATTTAATTATATAAAGATTAGGTTCAATACATAAAAGAATGGAAAAAGATATTTCTGGAAAAAATATTTCAAACACCTAAAAGTGACAAGGGACAAATAAATGGAATAGATGACAATCTCCAGGAAGTTAAGGGGGGGAAAATTGGAACAAACTAGTAGAGAAAAAAAATAGGAAAAGGAAATTCATATAAAGGGAAACCAAAATGGTTCATGGAAAAAATGCTCAAATTAAAATCTTTCAAAAATGCAATTTGGCTCATGATCCTTCTGCCTCAGCCTCCTGAGTAGCTATAGTACCAGTGGTGTACCACTAAGCCTGCCTAAATAAATAAATAAGTAAATCTTAAAAACTGTTCTGTTCAGAAAAAAAGTGAGAATAAAGCTTATAGCTGAACAGCACTTATAAAAAGTATCCAGATGCTGTCAAACAGCCCCAGTGACTTAGTAAGGATACTTGGGGCTCCCCTTAATATAAGGACTAAAACAGGAATTATTAAAAATAAAACTTCTCCTTTGCGCTTTCAAAAATGTTATAGATCAGTCTCCCCCCAAATAGAGGAGGTAGAAATGAACCCATACACTTTTGGAAAAATCGCGTTACTGATAGTCTTTGAATTGATCTTTCTCAGTGCTACTTAGCCAAAAAAAAAAAAAAAAGGAGAGACTAGGAAACTGTCCAAATGCTTGAGAAGATCTTAGCTCTTTTTCTGGAACCAACTTCCCAGGATTCTACATCAATATTTAAGAAAATGGAAGAACAACACTATTTGGTGCCCCTCCACCTACGAACTACCCCTTGTCCTAACTACATAAAACAATTTCACAGACTTTTATTGGCATCTTAGTTCTTCTAAATTAATTGTAACAAGGACTTCAGAACATTCTACAAAATGGATGCAAACTAAGCTTGAATTAAACTAAAAATTCTGGTGTTAGTGCTTTTTTATGGTTTGTTTTTTACAAAGCAGATATCCTTAAGATTCTGTTTTGGAACCACAGATAAATTTGAGGATTGTTTTTCTTCATTAGAATGAATTATTAGTTTAGAGAGCTTTGGACCATATTCCCCCATACAGGATAAAAAATTTAAGTGCAGTCTAGAAGTATTTCCATGACCAACTGTACATTTTCCCAAGCTAACAAATACTTTTAAGTACCTGAGAAAATTAAAAGACATTTTATTCTAAAGAATAAAATCAACATTAAGAAAAAGCACACAGGCTGGGATTGTAGCTCAGTGATAGAGCACTTGCCTAGCACGTCTGAGGCACTGGGTTTGATCGTTAGCACCACATATGTGGCCATCTTCAACTAATAATAAAGAAAAACACACAGGTGTGTATACACAGAGAGAAAGCAAACATGGTGAAAGGTTTACAGCTGATGACCGGCAGGTGAAGTGTATATGGGTGTTCACTGCACAATTTTTTTTTTTCAATTTGTCTATAAGTTTGAAGTTTTTTTTTTTTTAAGAAAGAGTTACAGGACAACTAAAGCCAAGAGTTTTAATTTAGTACTAGGCCTATTTATGCCCCCATGACTAGCTTTCAATTTAACATCTAGCTCAGTATTTGTTATCTCAAGACCATACACCAGTCATGACATATACTCCCATATGTACAATCCATGTAAAACAGTCCTAAGTTCACTCAGCATTAGGGTATGTATAAAAATAATCAAGCTTGGAAATCCTTAATCAAATCCTTAGAGAAGATATTCCCTTAAAGTAGGCGCTAAAGAGATAACCGCTCTAAGTTTTAAGGCAACACAGTACCTGAGAATGTTAACCATAAGTAAATACCTTCTAAATTTTTCTCCTCTCACCAGTTATACTTACTACTGGTTGACGCTCATGCAATGGATCTTATTCCTAAATTACTACTCATCATTTTGCAATGCAATATTGGGGACGGTCCTCTCTACCCTTAACCTAAACAACTACAATTCCCTAAATCCAAACACGCACATCGCATTACACAAAAACTAGAAAAAAAAAGTTGGCAAGCTACATTAACCCACTATTATCCCCTTAGTTCCTTTCTTGTTTAAAAAAAAATGGTGCTCGCATAGACTAACAAATGGTTTTGGTGCAACCGTGAGACAATTCTATATTGACAAATGGATCTGAAGTGAAGACGAGAGCGGGTGTGCATCTTCCTGTGAAATCCTGGGGGCGTCAGGAATGCCCCAACCACAGAGACAGAGCACGGCCGACTGCGACCGGCCACGAGCGGACAGAAGCATAGGAAACCGCGACAGGCGGCAAGTACTGCCAGGGTCGCTAAGGCGCGCGGGATCCCGGGCCCCGCGCAGCTCGCCCCCCGCCCCTCCCCTCCGCTACCCGCACAGCCTCTCCTGCCCCTCCCCGCCCGTCTCCCTCAAGTCTCCACGAACGGAAATGGGAGTCACAGCGCCGGGGACCAGCGGAAACAAAACACAGAGGCGGCCGCGGGGGGGCCGCTGTGGGGGAAAAGGCCCCGGAACGAGGCCGGCCCGCGCGGGCCCGCGCTCCCCTCCTCCCCAGCGGCCGCACTCACCCGCTCCGGAATGGGCCCTGTCGCCCTCGCCCGCGCTCCAGAGCCGCCCGAGAACGGCAGCAGCGCGGGCTCCACGTGCAGCCTCTCTCCGGGTAAGACCTGAAGCTCCCGCGTCTCGAAGTGTGAGGTTCCTGGGCCCTTCCCGCGGAATAGGCGCTGAGAAACCCCGAGCCCTCTCCCGCCTCCCAGGCACCCCCGGGTTCAGGACTACAACTCCCAGCAGGGCATGCGAAGCGAACGCCCGAGGCAACGGAGGCCCGCGAGGCACAACACCCCAATCCAACTTGTTTTACACTTTTTCACTTTCCCTGCACTATATACATCTCAACAACCTCAAGAAACAGGACACTGACTCGGAAGGGGGGGCTGGAACTGGGGTGAAAGGCCAAAGTGCGCATGCGTACAGAACAATGTTTCCAAGAGGAAAAAAGGTCAATTTAGGCGAAGGAAAGATGGCGGAGTCTTCGCCATGGGGACCCGGAAGCACTTACCCTCCACTTCCTCCTCCTGTTTGGCTTCTGTCTCACCTACAGCCGTCCGGTCGCAGACTGTCTCCGAGAAGCTTCCTGTCCGGTGAGCGTCGAACGACTGAAATGGCCGCCCATAATGCATTGCGATGGCGGGTAGGCGGGGGGGGGCGGAGCCAGGGCCGGAAGTACAACTGTGGCGGCGTCGGTGGCTCTGGCAGCTCGGGACTGAGTGCAAGGTGACTGGGACGGTAGCTAGACCGACTTGGCCCCTTGGGACTGCGATTCTGGGTTTCTTCACACAGCCGGGGCAGCCTGTAACCTCTTCCCTAGTAGGAGGAGAAAGCAGTCTGTGTGCCTGGCACCTTCGTGACATGGCGCAGGGTCACGACCGAACTCCGCGCTTCTAGGCCTTGAAGTTTGCCATAGACCCAAAAATAAGATCGATAATACCTTCCCCGCAGGCGAACGTGGGAGGAAGGGAAGCTGGGGGGTCGTGAGTCTGAAGTTCGTTCGGGGCAGTCCAAGGTCAGGCAGGTGGGACTCTGCTGCCAAACCTGTCGGCGCCCAGGACACGCGGGAGAATCTTCTGAGCTATGCACTGGGCAGGTCGTGCACCATAAAAGAGAAAGAGGCAGTTAGTAATCCCAAAATTGTGCATCCCACCTAAAAATTGTGAGAGGGTGCCTAACATTTCGTTAGGCAGCTTTGTGAATTAGGTACTGAAGAGACAAATGAACTAGCCTTTGACTGGTCGGTCACTATAAATAGGCTACCCGTGCTATCTCCCATTGGTAAGGACTGCCAGGGCTGCAGTACCCTCTTGCTAATGCCTTTCCCATTCTTTTTACGTTAGGTCCTTAACATAGGCTCTGCTAGTACTTGAATAAGTAATTTTATCGCATGTGGTATTACACCTATTTGTGTACTGATATGTCCTCGTGATGGTGGATTATGCACACTTATTATTAAATCAGAAAAATGAAAGGACGTGATGGAGGAGCAACAAGTTTTGATAAGGATTACGGGTTCATTTTTGGGGTGAGCGTAGGGTTTAGGTCATGAGAGCTGTAGAATATTATTATATGTTGTGAGGCTTCAGGAAAAAGATGTTATTTGGGAGTCATTGGTACTTAGGTAATAGAAAATGAATTTCACCCAAGTTGTTGTAGGAATGACGTCTTTGTGGTTAGCTTTAGAGCATATTAACTGTGAGGATGTGAGCAATTTAATAAACTTTCTTATAATATTATCGTCTGTAAAGCAGGGGTAAGAACACCTTTCTGTAAACTCTTTAAGTTTCTTTTTTCAGAGTTACAAGGAGGGGATATATGAAGTAGTACTTTGCAAAATATGGAGGGCTGAACAGATGTTACATTACTGCTGGGTGTTAGGCATGTTCTTAAGTTTGCCAGAAGGGAAAGAACTTTGAGTTGGATGATTTTTTTTTTACATATTTATGTTGATTCAATTCTCCTGTGTAATGTTGGACCAGGGTACTTAACCTCTATGCCTCAATTTATGTATGTATAAAGATGAAATGACACAGAGTACCTTATAAAGGCATTTGTTGTTGGCTTGTAGTCTTCTCAAGGTTTTTTTTTTTTTTTCCTGATGGAGTACAGGAATTCTTTCAGTTCTTCAATGGTTTACTTTCCTTCTCTCTAGTGAAGGATATCTTGCTGATCCTATGATTTCTTTGGGTAGTTTTTATTTGCTATTCCTGGGTTTGTCAATATTGGCACTATTGACATTTTTGGACTAGATAAGGTAGTTGTGAGGTGGGGGTGCTGTTATTATAAATATTTGGCAGTATCCCTGGTTTCTGCCCACTAGAGGCCAGTAGCAGTCAACCTAGTCAGACCAACCAAAAATGTCTTCAGACATTGCCATATGTTTCTTGGGAGATAAAATCTCCCCTTTCTTCCACTTTAAGAACCATTTTGTTACTCTAGTGTTTTCTAACTAGTGCTTCTCAAACTTTCATTGCGAAAGGCCATACAACCTGGTGGGTGCTTTTGAAGAATACAATGAAAATGAATTATTGGAAAAATGAGATGAAGGGGGAAAAATGAAACAAAACACACAGAATACAAATAATTTTTATTAAGTTCACAGCATAAAATAATTTTGTTGAATTGCTCTAAAAGCTTCTTAACTGCTTATTCCCAATTCTCTTCTCAATTCTCTATTACTATAGATTAGTAATGGTTTGTATACCACCACTGGACTTATCTATTATGACTTCTTGTAAGTCTGGTGTCGGGATGAGGATAATTATTAGTTTGGAGGAGGGCATGGGAAGCATGTTAGTATATTGGGACTACACTTTTAGGTTTAGAAATGCTACCAAGCCAAGTTGAGCACATGGTATGGGCCTGTAGACCCATCAGAAGGCTGAAGCAGGAGAATCACTTGAGCCCAGGAATTCAAAGCCAGCCTGGGGAACATTTGAGACCCTGTCTCAAAAAGAAGAAGAAATATCACCAGGCTGTATTTGTCACCATTTCAATTTAGGGATTGGTAAAACCCTTCAAATTTATAAACTTAAGTTTTAATCTGATGAAATTTTTCTATTAATTTGGAATATTTTTTGCATTTGATCATTAAATCACAAAACCAGGTCTAAAAAGAGATCATCCTCTAATAATCTACTGGAACTCTCTTTAAATTAGAAAAATAATATATTTTAGCTATTGTTAAATTTCATATTTTTAAGATTTAGACGTTCAGAGCTGGAGTTGTAGCTTGTCTAACATTGAAGGACCTTTGTTTGATCCCTAGCACCAGGGGAAAAAAGATCAGACTTTCATCTCCTTTGCAAATTCTGTTTCACTGATTAGGTCATGCTGTCTTATCCTACCTTCTGTTGTTACAGGGCTTACTTGTGCTGGTTTTTTTTTTTTTTTCTTTTTCCCCCTCTTCTTTCTTTTGGATGATGATTTGGTTATTACGGTGTTTTTAAATGACTAGAAACCTGCAGTTATCATAAGCAAAGCAGTTTCTTTCCCTGTGGGTCTGTGAAGTATGAATTTCCCGCTGTTGTCCTTAGCTACAGCATCTGCCTACAGTCTCTGCCTAGTTCCATTTTAGCCTTTTGAGGAATTGGAGAAACCTAGCCCATTCATTTGGGAGCAGGTTTTCTTTTCCTGCTGGTGGTAGGTAGTGTTTTAATAGTCTACTTCTGTTATTTCCTCTGGTCCAAGGCTGTTAGAAAAAAAATCCCATCCCAGATTTTGTACTTTCTGCTGTAATGCTGGTAGAGCCTCAAGCTTGAATTCCTAACTGTTCCTAGGTCCTAGAGCCTTTTAGTAAGAAGCAAAAATCTCAGTGTGAATTGAGAGGGGAAGGGAACTATGGTTAGGTTTAGACTGAGTTCTGTAACAATTAGCAGGATTAAACACCCACCATGTGATATATTTAGAAGTGTTTTGCAAGAAGTGCATTAACATTCTAATGCTTGTTTTTAGTACCATAGAATCACCATGGTTCTTCAGAGGCTCTTCAAGTTCTCCTCTGTCATTCGGTCTGCAGTCTCTGTCCATTTGAAGAGGAACATTGGTGTTACAGCAGTGGCATTTAATAAGGATCTTGATCCCATACAGAAACTCTTCGTGGACAAGATTAGAGAATATAAAACAAAGAGACAGTAAGTAGATAGGAAATCAACTGCAGTGTAAATATAACTATTCAAAATATCAAAGTTTTCTGATTTGAGTCACAAACTGTCTTCTTTATAAGGAATCCCAGGAAGAAATCCATAAAGTCTATTGTCATTTAAAATATATTCTTACTGTAATGTCATTATTATGAACTGAGTCAACTCAGAAGTATGTAGAATCTTATAAATCATTTAGCAGCTATACTTGAGGAAAGCAAGTCCCTTTGACATCGATTAGCCTACTTGGAAGAAAACAAAGTATTCTGATTCTTGTGTCAGAGAATTATTCTGATTTTCATAGTCATATAGCTCTGGGAATGTCAAAGGACAAAAGACTAAAATGACATAAAAAAAAAAGTCCAAGAAAAGTTTGATTACAAAACCACACAGTTTTAGATATGCACTTTAGCCATCATCAGCCATTTTTCAAATCTTAGGAAAAATATCAATTTATAGTTCCATTTCTTTCATTTAGTTGTCTGCTGTTTGCAAAGTACAGGGTTATTTTAACTCTGGTGGGTAATACTGCATTTTTAAAATATTCTTTAATTAAAAAAAAAACTTTTTTTTAAAAAAAAACTTTTAGACAAGTAAATACAACAAAAGGTAAATGGTTAGGTGCTTAGGGAGTGACATATTCTGTGTTTGGAAAGTTCATAGGAAGAAATCCTCCTTTCCATCTTGAGGCATTTGAAAGGCTTCTTGGGAGAGATCTTTTATACTGTCTTTGAGGACAGTGTTTGGGGTCATTCATCCCTCTTGAGAATCTTATGAATATCCTGAAGGTAAACATTGAAAGTCTTGATTGAAGGCTCTATTTAGAATTGTGCTATTTGTTTTGGCAGCCATTATCATGTGGGACTATTAAAATTCTAATTTATTGCAGGTAAGTATAAATAAAAATTCAGTTCTTCAGTCATCTTATCCATATTTCTTGTGCTCAGGCTAGGAGTCTAGCTCAGTGCTAAAGCATTTTCCTAGCATGCATGAGGCCCTGGGTTTGATCCCCACCCAGCATTCTTAAAGAAAAATACATAATATCTTTCCTAATGATCAATATCTGTTCAGATATATGTGGATATTAAACAGATATAGAGCCTGTCTGGTATTACAGGAAGTTCTATTGAACAGTGCTGACTGAAAAGAAAATTGGGTCCATTAGAAGAAACATCGTTATCGGGTTCTTAAGTTGGAGTTGTCTATATGTCTTTGTGGAATATCTTTTAACAGATTTACCAATGCTTTGATAAGGGCATGTGGGAAAATATTACCCTTAAAAGAATTTTTGTAAATTTTTTGTTTATCGGGGCTGGGGATGTGGCTCAAGCGGTAGCGCGCTGGCCTGGCATGTGTGAGGTCTGGGTTCGATCCTCAGCACCACATACAAAGTTGTTGTGTCCGCCGAAAACTAAAAAATAAATATTAAAAAATTCTCTCTCTCTCTCTCTCTCTCTCTCTCTCTCTTTAAAAACATTTTTTTTTTGTTTATCATATCCATTAGTAGGCAGGTAGTAACACTTATGACAAACAGAAAATTTTGTTCAAAGAATAAATTAGACATATTTGCTTCTGCTGCTCGTCCATGGTGCTATACTCATTTTCCCAAAGCCCAACTCTAATTTTTTTCTCATTTTATTGCTTAGCAAATAAAATGCAAATCACCAGGCTTAGTGTTCCAGGCCTCACATGAACTGGGTTCTGCTGGATTTTCCTTCTAGACTGCTCAGTGTCCCCTCATTTAACCAGTGCTTTGCCACCTCCATTTCTTTGCTTTTTCAGTTTTAGAAGGTCTTGAATTAAAATCTAGCCGTAAATTCATGATTTATCTCAAATACCACCTTTGTTAAATTTCCCATGATTAGCTTAGTATAGGTGATCTTTTCTAAATTTGACTGGCTTTTTGTTAAATCCGTCTTCAAAGCTTATCATTTAACTACCTGACAGTATAAATTTTTATAAATGTGTCATCTTTTTCTTCTAATGGCAAAATTGCTGAGGGTTTGAAACAGTTTGCTTCTTTGATAGAACATTATTGTAGAGAGAAAATTCCCAAGATCTTTTCTTTTTATTTAAAAATTTTAGATGCTGGGGATTGAACCCTGGAACTCTCACATGATAAGCATGTGCTCTATTACAGAGCTATACTTCTAACCTTAAGATCTTTTAATTTAAAAAAAAAAAAATCTTTTTTATTTTTTGGTACTAAGGATTGAATCCAGGGGCACTTAACCACTAACCTACTCCTCAGCCCTTTTTTTTTTTTGAGTCAGGATCTTGCTAAGTTGCTAAAGACTTGCTAAGTTACTGGGGTTGGCTTTGAACTCAAGATCCTCCTGCTTCAGCCTCCTGAGCCACTGGGATTTCAAGAGTGTGCCACCATGTCTGACCTAGCAACAAGATCTTTTTAAAGTATTTTGTGATGGTTGATATAAAGCAGATGATAATAGATAATACTTATTGCATGCTTGCTATGTCCATTATCTCTTTAATTTTCTTAAGTCCCTGTTTTGTAGGACCTTCATTCTTATGTTGAAACTTAACATTTAGAATACTTCCTGCCCTGCTGTGGTTTATGCATTTACTGAATGGGAAAGATGACATTCAAATGGAACCAGTCTAGTTTTGTTTTGGTATTGGGAATTGAACCAAGGGGTGCTTAAGCACTGAGCAACATCCCCAGCCCTTTTTTTTTATTTTCTATTTTGAGACAGGGTCTTGCTAAGTTGTTCAGGGCCTCACTAAGTTGCTGAGGCTGGCCTTGAACTTGTGATCCTCCTGTCTGAGCTTCCTGAACCACTAGATTTACAGGCTGTGCCACCATGCATGCCTAGCCTGGAACCAGTCTTTGACTCCAGAGCCTACAGACATTTTATTGCAAGTTAGACTCTGAAGAATTCTAACTTAATAAGGATCATTGACACATATTTTGAGTGTTAAGAGATTTGTTTGATATTACCTCATTTTATTTGAAACCTCATCATATTAAAATAGTTTGAATTGAAATATAAGTGGAAATACTTGTTTTTGTTTTTTTCCTGAAAAATCTACTTTCCCTCTATGAATACCATTACAAGGTCTATTAGAACTTGATGGTGAAGAGTAGTTTTTGTTTTTTAAAGTGGGACATACAGTTAGGTTTTTTGTTCATTTACACAACAGAGCATCTGGAGGACCTGTTGATACTGGCCCAGAATATCAACAAGATTTGGAGAGAGAACTTTTTAAGCTTAAGCAAATGTATGGTAAAGTGGACATGAACACATTCCCTAACTTCAAATTTGAAGGTAAGTCTCTTTGGTTGAAGATTCATTATCACAGGAAACTATTATAAGTGGAGAATATTTACACTTTCTTTTTGTGCAGGGGAGGATTAAATGACAATGACATGTGAATTTATTTAGAACCAAATATGCTCATGGGAGCTCTTCGACCAGCGTTTGCTGCTAGTGTAGGAGATCATATAACACAGTTTGTTTGTTTGTTTATTGGTACCAGGGATTGAACCCAGGGGCGCTTAATCAATGAACCCATTCCCGGTGCTTTTTATTTTTTATTTTGAGACAGGGTCTCCCTAAGTTGGTTAGGGACTCACTAAATTGCTGAGGCTGGCCTTGAACTTGTGATCCTCCTGCCTCAGCCTCATAAGCCACTGGGATTACAGGCATGTGCCACTATACCTGGCATAACATACAATTTAAGCAATGGGGTTCTGAAATCAAACTGTTTGATCTTGAATCCTAATAGTATTGCTTACTGACTGTGGTTTTGGACAGTTCACTGGAATCTGTTGTCCTCATCTTATATTTGAGGAGAATGATAGTATCTTCCTCTATACACAGTAGTTGTAGTCAAATGACATACATGAAGTCAGTTAATAGCCTCATTCATAGAAAGTGTTGAATAAATGTTTAACTATTGTTAAATTTCTGTGTAGATTTTAAAAACAGATGTTCAAGTTGGGTATGGTGGTGCACACCTGTAATCCCAGTGACTGGAAAAGCTGAGGCAGGAGGATTGCAAATTTGAAGCCAGCCTGAGCAACTTACTGAGAACTGCCTCAAAATAAAACTAAATTAAATTTAGGAAGGGCTGTTGATATAGCTCAGTGATAGAACACTAGCCTAGCAAGCATAAGATCCTATTATTTAATCCTGAGTACCACAAAGTATAGATTGGAAAATAAAGACAGATGTTCACTTAAAAAAAAAATTCTGAAGATTGATGAATTAAATCTTCAAACATTCTGGATGCATTTTATTCTAGTATGGCTAAGTTTGAACCTTTTTTTCCCCTCTTCTTATTTAGATCCCAAATTTGAAGCCATTGAAAAACCCCAATCCTGAAGAAATGTAAAATGAATCTGGTAATTTGTTATGAATTAATTGTACAGCTAATTAAAAGTTTCAAAATAAACAATTTCACAACTGTTAAGTGTTGTTTTAATTCTGATACCAAATAAATTATCTGCTGATGTTGAATGTATGTTTGAGTGTATTGAATTATGTGTCTTGGGGTTGTTTTTAAATCCTTTTGTTTGACTATAATGAAGCAGATGGAGATGTTGGAGATTTTGGATACAGCTTGCCCAGATCCCTGCCAGGCTCTTTTCAGAGTGCAGAGGAGGAATCTTTTCAGTGGTATGGACTTAATTCCCTCAGGGAATGATACACCCTTTCCTAAAACGTTCAAAAAATGGTTTACAAATCATTTGTCATAGATTTTTCAGGAAACTCAAGAGTAATTTTAGATTTAAGTAGGACCATCTATTGTGCTTTTAACTTCTATTGACTCAAAATCCAGACTTGTTTGCAGATCAGAGTCCTTTATAGCTCCTATAGATTGAAAAGGGAAAGGTTAGTGACAAAGAGGGAGGAATGCTTTAAAAAGGAGTATACTTTGAAAGATTAGAGGTTAGGGCTATAGCTCAGTGGTAGAGCATTTGCCTATCATGTGCTAAGACCCTGGGTTTGACCCTCGGCACAAAAAAGATTATATGGTGTTATTTTGACCAAGAAATGAAAGATCTAGCAATTACATCCTAGATTAGTGACAGTAGGGTACTGCTAAAATTTCAGTAACCCTAGAAAACTCTCAAGGAAGTTTTTTTATTTTAAAAAGGAAAAATCATCATGACATTTTAGATCTGATAATATCTCCAACATGTCAATATAAACCTTTAAATATTTTCTTTAAAAATGTGAAATAAACACTTATGAGTTGTAGATAACTTGAAAGGGAAATAGTTTTACCATGTCTCCATAGCTGGGGTCAAATCTGAGGAACATCTTACGGAAGATCTATAAATGTTTCTTTTTTTTTTTTTAACCTTTGTTTCAAACTTTATTCCCAGGCTTCTTCAGCTTAATTAGCTGCAAAGAATAAATTGTGTATAAGCAAAAACTGAAAAGAGCTGCAGTGTCCAAGGGGCTTGGGCTTAAAAATATTAGAGATCGAGATTTTATCAGATCCATAAACAAAACAATTTTAAAAAGCAGTCATAATATAAAACAGCAGCTCCCAGTAACTTCTTCAAGTTTATCTTCTTCAGAAGTGGATCAGTTCAGTTTGCCTCATTCTTAGAAGCCTCATCAAAATTCTCCACAAGATTTGGAACTTCATCATCATCATCCTCTCCAGTAGCAAGTGGTGCTTTTCCGTCCACAGATTGTTTGGGCAGAGCTTCAGCCAGTCTCCTTAAACTAGTCAGACTGTCTGCACCAAGTTGGTTTAAGATGCTGGGTAGCATTTCTGTCAGCTGCTTTGTCTCAGCATGGCCTGTAATGGTGAAAGTGTTTGCTGCCAGAGACGCCTGAACTTTAGGGTTGTTAAAGTGGATCACTGTTCCTTGGTTTGTAAACATATTCACCTCCTCAATACCAGAGATAGTGTTTACCCCTAACTTCTTTAAAGAGAACTGAAGTTTTTTATCATCTGCTGTAGCTGTTCTATGAACCACCTTCTTCTTTCTGCAAGCAGTTCCTTTTCCACCAGTTCGCACTTGTGCCTGCAGTGTGGCGAGTTTTTCCTGGTTCATGATAGTTTCTTTCATCTTGTCGGAGCGGAAATGGGGCCTCGCGGGGGACTAGGGTTGGTGCTTAGGGGGTCTCAGGCAGACCAGCTGAGATAGGCGCACACACGCAGGGACGCAAGATGGCAGCTAGATATAAATGTTTCTTAATGGTATAAGTATGATTAATGTGTGGAGAAGGAATTAGGAAGGGTAAAGTAGTAGGAAGAAAAGAGGTTTTTTTTTTATATATGCAGATAAGCAATGACAGATTGATTTAACTACTTTTATTTAAGTAATCATAGGCATTGAAATCAACTGATGCTTAATAATGCAACTATTTAAAAGTAATTGAGAACTGGTGATGCCACTCAGTGGTAGTGTGCTTGCCTAGCAGGTGTGAGACACTGGGTATAACCTAGCAGAGGGGGACAAAGTAATAAGTATATATACACACACTATGTGTGTGTGTGTGTGTGTGTTTGAGGAATGCTCAGGGACTTTCTCCAACCTCCCAGGAAACAGCACTACTTTCCCCATCTGTGTTGCTTCCAAGCTGCCCCTTGCGTCAGTTATGCAAATGCCATTCAAAGTAGAGAACTAACTGATTCTGTTTTGCTTCATCTTGTCTCCATGTATTTTAGTTGAATTTTACTTTTTATAATTTCACATCTATTTGTCTTATACATATGTTTTTTATCTGTCTTGAAACAATTTGGAGTTTTCTTGAACATTCCAATCTGTCTTTCATTATAGAAATAGGATTTTGTTTGTGAATCACCCCACTCCCATTCCCTACATTATAGGGCTGTATGCTTATAGTTAAATTTTGGTTTGGCAAGTGTTCCCTGTCTTCCCTGTGAGCCTCTGTGATGGTGATGTAGGTCAAGGTTTCAGCTCCCCTAGGACCCATTTTCTTTCCAGTGAAGCTGCCCCAGCTCTGCAAACTCCAGCCTTTTTTCAGCACTTCAGCCTGCCAGGCACTCATTCTGCAGACCAAGGTAGACAAACTGCCTTTTATGTTTATGACAAAGGCTCTCATCCAGGCATCTAGCCATTTAAGATGTTTTCCCCCTTGCCTAATGTTATGGACTAAATTGTAGTCCCTCAAAATTCTTTTGCCAAAGTTCAATACCCAGTACTCTCAGAATGTGATTATATTTGGAGATAGGGCCTTTATAGGTTATTAAAATGAAAGTGTTAGAACGGGACCTAATCCAGTCTGAGTTCCAAGAGGAAATCTGAGATGAGGAAAATTAGGGAGAACTTGGAAGAGCGCTTTGTGTACCTTATCTATTGCTACCTTTAAGAGTGACCAAAATTGTCTGTTGTAGTGTTCTAGATGATTTTACTTAAACCACTTAGGGCTTTTTCTTTCTTTTTTCGGTATGTTTTTTGCTACTATTGTTCCTCAGATTGTTGCTGTCCCTGGAGTTGAAGGTTTCCCAGTGCTTGTTCTCTGGTAAGGTGTATTTATGAGTACTTGGGTTACCCTTTGGGCTAGGAAGTCTCCTCAATTGTATGGATTGCCTTCAATGGTAATCTCTTTCAAATTCTCAGCTTCACTCTAATGGTAAGTTCAGTCTCTTATTTCAGATGTTTGCTTTAGGTGAGACACTGGCAAGAAGGCTTAAGGCCACCTGCTTCCAGAGATGCATACTGGACTCATAATAACTCACAGGTTTTTACCTAGGAAAATAGGTGCTGCACCCTCCTCCACATTTTTTCCCCAACTATCTTTCACCTTGCTCAAATAGCTACTGTATCCTTGGCAGGCACCTTCAGTTTTTGCAAGTAATTCTCTCCTTGGAGGCATGTTGTTGTATAGTTCCCCTCCTAACTTTAATTCATTCTGAAAAAAATTTAGACAATTCATTTTTTGTCTACATCACTTTCTGTTTTCCCTTACTCCTTCCCCTTCCTAATCCATTCATACACAACACTTCAGTTTATGTGTACTTAATGGTGGGTTAAGGATTAAAGGGAAAGTGGCCTGGGGCGGTTACTTCAAGGTAGCACCGTTCTCATGAATAGCAAAGAAGGTTTTCATATGCATTGTATTCATTTTCTTTAGAGAACTGGAAATTTGTCCTCAGCCTCTAAACAAAAGAAAAAGTCCCGGTTAAATTCTTATCTGTCTATAAAACCTCATCTCTGTGCTGTGTATTACCCTAAGACTTAAAAAAATAAGGTTCTTTTATCTTCATATCATTCAATGGTAAAGTGAATTTAAGAATGATTGACCCAATACAATAGTACACCCCTGTATCCCTGGCTACCTGGGAGCCTGAATAGGAGGATGACAAAATCAAGGCCAGTATGGGCAACTTAGACCCAGTCTCAAAAATGGAAGGGGTACTGCTAGGAGCCGAGCATTGAGCACATCCAAATTTTTTCCTAGCGACTTGGGAAGCTGAAGCAGTAGGATTGCCAAGTTTGGGTCCAGCCTCAGCAACTTAGAAAAACCCTGTTTCAAAAAAAAAAAAAAAAAAAATCTGGCTCAGTGGTAGAATGCTCCTGGGTTCAAGACACCCAATACTAATAAGGATAAGGGAAAAAAAAAAGGAGTGAAAAATTAAAAAGCAAGGGCAACTATAGGAGTTCAGCTACAGATTTAAAAAAATCTACTTAATGGTTATCTTTGTGTATGTGTGTGTATGGTTCTGGGCTTCATACATGCTAGGCAAGAGTTCTACTACTGAGCTATGTTCCCAGCCCAATTTTTATAGTACCTTTAAGTAGCCTTAAAAATAGTACAAAGTAGAAAATAGGTGATAAAATTTAGCTTTAAAACAGTCTGCCTTCAGTCTTAAGTTTTTGTTGTTGATACATTTTTCACGTGTTTTGATAACATTTTCTTAATAGAAAGTATGGAGACATTTCATACTATAGTATGTCTTAGTTTGTAATTTTTTTCCCCAAACTTGGTCAGGTAAAAGTATGATAAATATTAAAAATCAAATAAATATTAGAAAGTACCAACAAATGAAAGCTTAGTTTACCTTGAATCTCTTTACCAGTTATTACTACCAATTGTGTTCTGAAAACTTGTAGAACAAGAGACAAGATAAAAAAATTTTAAGTTTGAAGGAATTTGTAAATTTTTTAAGAGAGAGGAGAGAGAGAGAGAAGAGAGAGAATTTTAATATTTTTATTTTTTAGTTTTTGGCAGACACAACATCTTTGTTTGTATGTGGTGCTGAGGATCGAACCTGGGACACACACATGCCAGGCGAGCGCGCTACCGCTTGAGCCACATCCCCAGCCCGGAATTTGTAAATCTTATGATTAGGAGAATCAGCATTCCATGTGAAAGGAATATTATAAATAAATGTATGGGGGGATAGTTGTTAACATAAAATGACCATAGCTGAGTTTGACAAATGTATAAGGCAATTAAAGAGGATAGTGGAACACATGGCTAAATGGGTAGGTTGTTTCAACATGATATGAATGTGTAGGGTGCAAGGGGAGC